ATGTGTGCTCTGATCAGACATGTACCTCTCCCTGAGCTGCAGCTTCAGTGCTGTCTTCTAAAGTTAATTCTTCTAGGGGTAGGCTCAGCTGTCCACATAGTTAGGATTTGGGCAGAGCCCTCAAATCCCTCCACTGTCTCCCTCCTCCATGCCAGCAAGCTGCATTCACAACCCCGAGCACCAGGTCAAAGTCTGGGCCCTCTTTCCCTGTGGAGATATTAACAATACCATTCCTTTGGGTGGATTTGTGTCCTGTTTCCCCGCTATACATTTCTATCTTTCCACCCCTCCTTTTTAGTTGGCTACCATATGCACCCCTGGATTTGGTTTGGCCCCTTCCATACTACCTGAACCTCACCCCAGGAATGTTTGTATGTGGTTGCTTTGTATACCATAGTTTGTATATGGTAGCTTTGTATACAGAAGTTTGTATACAGTAGCTTTTTCCCTGTGCCCCTTTTCCCTGTGCCCCTCAGCAGACTCATGTTGTACTTGTCCTTTTGCACTTGGCTTATTTCACTTGGAATCATTTCCTCCAGTTCTTCCCCTGTGGTGATATGCTTCGTGCGTACATCACTGCTTTTTAGTGATGCATAGTACTCCACTGTATGTATGTATCAAAGTTTTTTTTTAATCCATTCGCCTGTTGATGGAAATTTGGGTTGTTTCCAACTCCTTGCATTTCTGAACTTGCTGTGATGAACATTGGAGCACAGATATCTGGCCCTGGTTTGTTTCTTGGCTCTTCTGGGCATATGCTGGGTCATATGGTAGCTCAATTTCCATCTGTTTTAGAAATCACCAAATCAATTTCCAAAGTGGCTGTACATACCAACAGGTCCACCAACAGTGGATGAGAGCTCCTATCTCCCCACAGCCCCTCCAACACTTGCTACTTTCTGACTTTTTGTATTGGGCTATCTTTGAGGGTGTTAGGTGGTATCTCAATTGTTTTAACTCTCATTTCTCTTATGAGAACATTCTCTCATATGTTTATTGGCCATTCGGATTTCTGCCCCTGTGAAATTTCTGTTCAGGTCCTTT